AGGCTCTGTGGCTCTGATCACTCCTGCTGAAAAACACAGACGTGTTACATGTCATACCAGTCAACACAAGGACACAATTAAATAAGCAACAGGTAAAAAGCTTAAATCAATTGCTGTTGACTGAGGACATGTGTTTAAGATACGTGTGACCAGAGACAGGCGAGTAAATGTCACAAAGACGTATGCTGTCAAACACCAACTATCCAACAGTCGGCTCTGTGAGACAATCCCAGCCTGTGGATAGCAAATACACCGCATGAGAAATATCAGATTCCCTGCAGACCCATGAATTCACAAACATAACAGAAGTCGACGTCTCCTTGCTCCAGTTTTCAGCAGTCTCTCACAGGAAAGAAAGACTGATGATGCATCCTTCAGCTGCTTGTATATTTAAATCTGGAAAAGCTGTCAAATGATGAAGCTCACATTAAGAGTTGACTCCGTTTTTGAAACCTTCATTATGTGTCACATTTTTCAATCCCAACCAGCTACTTCTGGATACATTTTGACGACAAAAACATATCAACTGGTGCTATGCCCCACAGACAGCTCCCTGCAGACCATCTACTTGTGCTAGAGAAATCCAGAACTTTCTGAAATGCTATCCCCTTCCCTCTGTCATCATCTCCATGAGAAGATATGCCCTGCTACAGCTGAGCAAACAGCCCACACCGTATGCGTTTAACTGACCAGCAGGTACCTGGGAGAAGAAAAGGGAGGAAGAGTGGCAGTTAAATTGGTTTGGTAGAAGCTCACCCTTGTTGTTCTGAGCGACCGGGCCAATAGACAAAAAGCAACGGGTGCTACTTGGGAGGCTGTGGCCCCAGAGTGTGAGAGGATAGCATGAGCACAGCGAACCAGAATGCCACAGATCAAGTTACAGAGCCGGTAAATATAGCAGAAGCCTATGACCTCTACAGGTCACTCCACACTCAGTGGCGTTCCAATTTGCTCTTAAAGGACTAGCATTAAGGCTTTTTATAAGCCAAGCTCGGTACACATCAAGAACAACACTGCTGTGGCCAGCAGATCGGCTGCTTTCACTGAAATTAAAGTCTGAAATGAGGAGCTTCACTTGATCACAATTTATGTGCAGGCATCTGAGTTCCTCCAGTAATAGTGTCAGTGCCTGAAGGTTTTGATACTGTAAACAATGTTGTAATGCAGTGGCTCTGACATTTCACATATCAAAGTGATAACTGTTGTGTGAAATTACAATCTTTCAGTTTTGTATGACTTGAAAATGTAACTTTAGTTTCTTCAGTCGTCAGTCATATTCATCCCAGTCTGTCTTATTCTGATTGTATCTTCATACAGTCAATTTGATTATGTTCACACACGTACAGTTACAATTAATCTTTACTTGATTAGGCATTATCATTGGGTTGTTGGGTAAATAATACTAATAATCAATAAATACAAGCAAAACAACAAGAACAGGAATCATTTTAGACAAGAACAATAACAACAATTTAAGTGCACATTCTATCTGTGAACTTATCAAGTCCTACCCCTTCATTATATTTTGTCTTCAAAATAGTTTAAACATACTCCTTCAAACTTTCTGCTTCAGCTATCATACACCACTAAAAACAAGTCACATCAAGCTAATAGAGTAAAAATGTAGAGCATTCAGAGCAAAAAGAGAAAAGAAAAACCAAATAAGGAAAACATGATAGTCAGAATGAGACATACTTGCGCAACAGGACAACCTGCAGATCATGTTCCATTATACATCCCTTCAGAATGTTATTTTTAAACACTTGTTTATACTTATTCAGTTTTTTTGTTTTCTACATCATTTGGCGTCAACTATAAATCTCTAAATTTCAGTGCTCTGAAGTAGATAAAGAGTCTTTACTCTATTAGTGTTTTTATTTACTATTCTTATGGCTCTTTTTTGAAGGATGAAGACTGGTTTTGTGTTTGTTTTGTAAGTACCCCCCCCCCCACGTCCACACAGTGGGTTAAAGCAGTACAAGGTGTATAACGATGCTTGATTTGATTTAAAAAATCAATCAAAACATCAAAGCCAGTTGCAATATTACAAAGTAAAGATTGTGTAATCAAAGCCAGCATCAGTATACACATTGTACCGCTTCAACCCACTTTGTAATATTGCAACTGGCTTTGATGTTTTTATTCTAATGCCACTGAAATGGCGCTTCGAGCAAAAATGACCATCAATTATTATTTTTAAGAAACTTCATGTCAAACATTCTTTCTATTTGAAAATGTTTACTGTGATAAACAGGGTTTAACTGCATCCTATAGATATAATTTTGCCGTGTGACAGTAAATGACCGGATGAAATCCAGTGACTGCAGCAGCAGCAGCAGCAGCAGCAGCAGCAGCCTGAGCAGTTGAGGTATATGAGTGCGAGACAATGGAAAAAGACCGGAGCAGTGCTGGTGGACGGTCTGTGAAGGGGTGTAGCGTTACATGACACAGAGAGGAGATGGGACGACACCAGCCAAGGAGCCATATATATATATATATATACTCGATGGATTCACATATGGTTCTCCAGAGTCTGAGGCAAACATCGGTGTTTCAGACATACTGTTATTACAGGTGATTAGATAACCAGGAGCATCATGGACGCGGGGCAGCACTGACAGACCCAGTGACAGGGGGGGGGGACTGGAGCAGCGGAAACTTAAGTCACCTGAAGTGTGGGGGGGGGATGCTAACAAAGTTACGTTTATTATCAAAGCACGGTCGGTTATTAGCTGTGTGTAACTGCGGTGGACGGTAGTTAAGTAGCCGGTGGGGCTGGCTCCCTCCACAGCAGCAGCACAAGCAGCAGCCCCCCCCCCACACCAAACTGCAGTGTAATTCACTGCTTATTACCACTTCACCACACCGCATGCACAACACACGCAGTTCACTTACTGCAGCGTCCATGTCTTCAAACTTCACACTCTTGCTCTCGAACCAAGGGACGCTTCACACCCACGGTGCCGCCGAATGTCTTGTCGGCTCGCAGTGACTTCTACACGGTGGAAGATGGCGCTCGGTGAGGTCTACGGTTCTTCAAAGTAGGCAGGGGAAAGGTACTTCAGCCAGAACGTGGTTGGAGTTTGGCTCGTGAGACACGTAAGAGTATCGGCACCATGGTGGTGTAAGGTAACTGCATCCACTCACCCCGCAGCTGGAGATCTCTCCCTCCACCCCCCCTACGACCCACACGGACTGAGAGACGGCCCCGGTAACGTGTCTTTGTGCCCGCTCCGTGCTCCGGTGTGCACCGGTCACCACGCTGCAGTGAAGGAGGGCCCGTACAACTGCAGTGAGGACTCCACCGCCATGGTCTCTGCTCATGAAGCCTGGTGTGCAGCCATGTCTCCGGTCCCCGGTGCAGTTGTAGAGTTACGGACCGGGCACCGGTGCGTTCCGCTTTAACGGTGACGTCAGTCCACCGACTGAGCTCGTTGCTGATTGGTTCACACCTCCCTCCGCGCGTCATCAGCCGGAGCAGCGAGCCTCCGCCCACACCGTCACCATGGGGACGAGCGTAAACATCGGAGGCGTCTTTCATTGAGCTGAATGCTTCGTTCACACTTTTCAAAAGTCAGCTCACATGGTGGCTGCAGAGTCGTGGGCCTGTACACAAACCGCTGCTCTCCGGAGAATGAAACACCGTTCCACGAAGCAGTGCTCTTTAAGTGCACGTGTTTCATTGATCAGGAATAGTTTGTTGAAAGCAACGTACACATAAAACAACAATAACTTCTGTTTGACTTGTGCAGTGTCCCCATTATGTTTGGAAACAGTCGATGCTGCAGAGTGAGGTCGGACAACTTTGTGTTCATCCTACTGAAGATTTTATAGAAAATGTTTTCATAAATTTGCTGTATTATTGCGCACGTACATGGATTTTTATACAAGTTTGAATTATGTACTGAACTGACGTTGTTTTCACAAACTGCATGTTGGCTATTTCAGAGGTGCAGACCCAAGTTCACTTTTTTTTTTTTTTTAAATAAAAAACTCTGTAATTCGGCTAAATATAAAGCATTACGGCAATGACTGCTGCCACAGGACGTTATTCTACGAATCATGTTGCCATCATGGAGATCAGCACCCGTGACTCCCATGAATATCTGTGACAGTCTAATATGATGAAATGAAAATAATTAAATTATCAACATGAGCTAACAGCAATTTTGACTCATGATTTGACCAAGGTGCACACCAGTGGTTTAGGTTATCCGAGGACAAAGAAGACATGTTCAACTCTGTCTACTCAGTCATCAGACGAGGGCACACTGCCCAACCCCCGCTGACTGTAACAGGGTGCTGGTCACCTGTTTATTCAGTTTTTATTAATACTGAACGAATCACGTGGCCAAATCGCACCAACTTTGACTCTGCACTTCCCTGGGCCATAGACAATACACATACCAAGAACTGATGAGATGAGTGGTTCACGAGATATGCATTACACACACAGACAGACAGTGTTTGTAGAATTGATAGGTGGATAATTCAAATGTATGAAATCCTATGGTATTTTGAACTGAAGCTTTGTACACAAAATCATAAAGATAGCTTAAACAGCGCACAATCATTTTTAAAATTACTACTACTACAAAGCTAAATATCTTGTAACATTCTGGAACTCTAATAATTCTACATAAGTATTTACTAGTGGGGAATGTGCCTTTGTACAAATGCCACATTTACAGTGCCCTGTTTTGTCATTTGAAGTTACATTTAAGAAGTTATGAACAAATTAAACACAATTGGTTGAGTCAAATTTTGAGTGATCTTTTAACAAATCATATTTCAAGTTAAAATATGCTAATCCTCCATTAGGATCAGTATTTGCGAGCAGAGAAGTCATTCATGCTGGAGGGAGCGCGCCTTGCATCAAAGTGAATGAGTCATAGAAAAATACTGCAGTATATCCATCTCTACCGTGAAACACATCTGGAGCCCTGACATGATTCCAAAGCTGCTGTTGTGATTGAACGTGTCACACACTGAGTCAGGAGAATTCCATTTATTACCATTCAGTGACGCATCTTTCTCTACACACACTTACACAAGCAAGATGACTCACTCTGATCCATTTTATACTTCATATAGTTTCCTTACAAAACTGAGTATGCTTTAAATGCCACAGATAATGAGCAGTTACATGGGTGGGTGAGCTGGTTAGCTTAAACACTGGTGTCTCAGTCTGAGCAGTGGCGAAACCTGGGCCTCCTCAACATTCAGTCGAACCAAAATCTACAAGACTATAATCAAAGACAAAACACTGTCTTCTGAGATCCACCTGAGCTCTGGTGCACCACTTTGGGAGGCAGACGATAACTGAAGCAGTGTATTTATGGATACATCCAGAGTAGCTATTTAGAATCTTGGGTTTCCATTCAAACACGATATGCAGTTCGAAAGCTGCCAGATGTCTGGCATTATTAGAATTTAACACAAGTACTAACTAAACAAAGGAAACATGGAGCTTTTCAGTGTATGGATTTTCCTGCATTTCAGCAGGCAAGGCTTAATCTAACAGAAGAGAGTTTCATTTCTGTTAAACAGTCACATTATACATTCATCACTAGTGTGAGAGGTTTTACAGATATTTTCTGCTTCTCAATTCTTCTACAGCTTCTTACAGAATGACTTTTGACTTTTTTTACTCATATCTTCCATTTGCATTTTTAAAAGTCCAGTGTGTGAGATTTAGGTGAAAGGGATCTTTTGGCGGAAATTGAATATAAAATAATCTTATGTAACTTTTGATGTTTTCACGATGTGTTTCATCTAAGTTATACAAATTGTTGTTTTCTTTATCCTAGAATGGGCCCTTTATATTTAAATAGCTTATATTTACATCTCAAGTCGGTTCCCATTTACGGAGGCCGCCATGTTTTTTACCGTGGCCCAAACTGGACAAACTAAACACCTCTTGAGTTTTTATGACAAGTGAAGGCTTCCATAGGTTCTCCACCACTAGATGTCACTAAATTCAACACACTGAACCTTTAGCTGAATTTTGTCATCCTCACTGACTTCTGTGTACTTAAAGCAGTGGTTTGATATTTTTGAAAATAATTAAAAATGAATCGCTCAGGAGAAAGTCAGATGAGTACACTTAATTGCTGTGTCTCAATTCAGTGGTTGCATCCTTCTGAGGCTGCATTTGAAGTCTGACAGTGTCACAGCGGTGTGACTAGGCTATCCCATTTCAAACCTTCAAATGCAGCAGATTATTGCATCCTTCCATCCCGGCCCAAACTATCCCAGGATTCATGGCACTTCAGTGACAAACCATTTTTTTCAAAGAGGTAGTGGCACTGGCAATCGACAAGATGTCCGATGCTTGAGTATCACACTTCAACTCAACCGAACAGCTAATGGTACACAAAAAAGCAAAGAGCACTAACACTTTCTCATCATGCCCAACTTCAGATCTGTTGCTAGGCAACACCAGAAAGGGCGGGATGAGCTGGTGATGTCGATCGTGGAAAGACCAGACCGTCTCACTTCGGTTCGGCCTTCGAGGTCTACGAGGCCCACGAAGGAGGCAGTCTTAGTGGGCCGGAAGGATGCAGCCCCTGAATTGAGACACAGCTAATATGAGGCTACACCAGTAGGCAGTTAGCATAGCTTAGCGCAAAAACTTACAAATAGCTTAGGACAACTAACAACACACGTGGCTCCGTGTGAAAACAAATTTCACCCTCCAACACGTCAACAGATCACTACTAAGTGTATGAACAACAAGTTGTGATTTTATAGGAGGTTGCCAGGATATTTCAGAGCCAAGGGAAAGCCTGGCCCAGCACATACAACCACAGCCCGTTTAAACTACAGTTTTTAAAGAGATTAAAACAAAGATGCGAGACATAAGATAAGATTCAAGATGTTCATGAAATCTGCATATTTTGCTACCACTTCATTTTTTTGCACACATACAGTACAAGAGATTCTTAATCTTCTCATTGAACTCTGAGCTAGAAAAAGAACGAGCCTATTTCCTTTAAATGTCACATTCATACATGGGAAGAAAACAATGAGCGATCATCACCTCTGAGGAACACTCACTTCTGACTCCTGCTTCAGGACTTGTCTCGTAGCTGTACTGCTGGTGGAGTTATTACCTCTGCCTCTAAAATGGGTGTCTCCCTGAAGGACTGCTGACTGATCGATTACAGGCTGCTCTGCTGCTCATGGTTTAGCTGAGCGACCTGTATTTTGAGCTGACCTGTACTGCAGAGGAATAGCACGACTAAAAACACGAGAGAATGAGCAACCAAACAGCACATCTCCGATAGCTGCTGTTAGAAGGGGAATTAGGGTGGCACTTGCTTGTAAAGGCCTGAAAACCAATTTTCTCAATCAGCTTCTTGCTGTGAGTGATGGGATCAACACTGATTTGCTTTGTTTGTTGTTGTTTTTTTTACCTCCGACAATGAGGTTGTTTTCATCCCTGTCTGTTTGTTTCCAAGCCAGATTATCTAAAACCTACAGGATGGATTATCACAAAACTTGGTGGAAGAAAGCGGTATGGGTCAAGAATGAATGCGTTAAATTTTGGTGTGCGAATCTGGATAAAGGGCCGGATCCAGAAATAGTTTTTCTCTTTCTCTCTTTAACATTGTGAGATGGCCATTAAAAAAAAAAAAAAAAAAACCTTGATTCACATATTTGGTCAATCAATTTGCTTATGTCGCCAGGCCACTGTCACACCTCTCTCACAGCCCTGATGAAGCAGATTGGCTGAGGTATGAAATATGAAACTCACAGCTTTCATTGTCGCTTTATTAGCCCTTACTCCTAATTTCAGGGGCTTTAAGGGCTATAAAAGTAAGGGTATTCAGCAAAAGTGAATGAATAACATCATAACAAAATCTATATGAACTCAACTGGTAACCAATACATTTACATCAAGACTTATAATATTTCCCTCTGCCTTAATGTCAAACAAAGTTCCACCAAGTGCATTAATCCATAGATCTACGCAGCAGGAAGAGACCTCGTTCCTCACAAACACATCAAACCAGTAGACGAAAAACACATGCACATCTTTAAATCACCCATCCAGCAAACAGCTGCATAGTGCACACAAACAAACCCTGCACTGATAAGGACCGACACTATAGCTCAACACTTCACACTTGGATGTTGATGCCAGCACTACCCTGCTGGTCTCTATGGCTGTGGTTCATGCTACACTAACCTGCATGAATTCTGCTCGACTATAATGAGTTGAAAAAAAAGATTTCCGTGTCTTTTCATCTGACCTGCTCGCTGCTACACCTTCATTTCTATCACACTGTTTAATGTTCAAGTAGAGCATTAGTGTCATAAAAATACTACAGAATAGTATATTTGAAATATTGTGGTATTTACATACTTTTACATTTTACATATTGATACTTTTGAAGGATAAAAACACTGTTTACTATCAACAGTGAATGAATTGAAGCTGCAGCCACTCAGTATGATTACTTTATTTTGTGATGTCAGCTGTTTCCTTTGCCCGAATCCCCTGCTCTGCTAAGTTGCCAGCTAAAGGAAAAAGCAATAGCGTCAAACATCTTACATCAATGTTCCTCTTGCGTGAGGTGAATACTGCATATTAAAATTAATACATTACATTTATAGCAATAATAACCTACTGAGTCATCTTTGGAGAAGGTATCTCTGCATGTACTGAGATGTAAAATATATGTGTGGTGGACATGAAACATTAATGTAGAGAATTTATAGAATAGTGTGCAGTTTAAATAAGGGCCCTCCAGCAATTTACTACAGTGCTTCTTTTAAGTGGGTGGACTCAACCTAACTTAAAAAAGGTCATTTAAGCAGCAAGGTTCAACACATGCTAACTCTAAGTCCTTTGTATGGCTAAAAATAACACTCCCATCACATTCTGCCTTAATGCCCACATCTCTCAAACTTCACAATTCCAGTTTGTAACACAAGTTTTCTGATAAAAGTCTTGAGAGTCAAGCTCATGTAAAGATGCACATGAATGCATAAAACTGAGATCAGCATCTGTTTACGAAATATCACTGATTATAAATTGAAGATGGTGAATAAACAGTAAAAACCATGAACACTGAATAAAATTTAAATCTTCATCAAAACAAATGCAAGTAATTAAAGAAATCTGGCAATGATACAACTTCCATAAGAAAAAAAAATAAGCATTTAAAAAACATGAAACACTATCTTCTTAAATGCATAATAACAATAAGAAACTGGTAAAAGGCTCTAAAACCATGTCTTTGACATATTTCATTAACATGGACAGAAAGCTAATGAAAACCTCTTCGTGCTCCAGACTGCGCTCAACTGAAGCAGGATGGTCTGAACACAAACAACGAGGACTTTAAAGAGATTGTGTTTCAGGTACCCTGAAGTGTACATTTAGATTCAGAGCCACTGTAGTGAATATAGTGTTTTTTGGAGAATTCCCTCCCTAAAATCACCTCTTTGCTCTTCTAAATAGTGAATTTGACATTTTGTAGTGCAGTTCAAATGTTTAGAAAACATTTTTATACCCTAAATATTGACCATATTGAATATTTTGTGTGTGTCTGTGTGTGTGTCTGTGTGTGTGTGTCCTGCAGAGGTTACTGAAGTGGCAGAGCTTAATTGTTGTTGAAGACAGAGATGCAGCCTGTAGGGGGCAGCCCATGACATGATTATCTGTGCATGGATGTGAATGTGAAAAAACGTGTGAATCAGCTTTTTGATACGAAACCTAGTAACATTAAATCTTGGCCAGTGATGAGTGTCATGTATATCAAGAATCCATTGCTCTTTGACTGTTGTGACTTTGCCAAATACTTAAGATTTCATATGGAAACCTCTCACTATGGCAATTATCCAAAGTAATACACAGTAAACACTGACTAACAATAAAACGGAGCCAAAATTCCCAGTTTTTCTCCCGTTCCTGACATTTAGAAGTAGTTTAGGCAGAAATTTTCATTTCACAGATATTGTCCTTCCTGATTTTGTGACTACACAAAAAGTGCAATTGAGAACTGCAGTTCCTCTTCATTCAGCAGCACTGTCTCACCACGACCACGATAGCTTTTGCGACGAGTGGGCAAGCTGGCGGTGTTGGATACTTGCTTACACAGGCGCTATGGTGCATGCCAGGTACTAAGAGACAGAGCTGTAGTAAAGCTTGGTAGGCATAGCAGCGCCCTCCACTTGAGCTGCTAACTGATTGCGTGTTGCTCTCTTGGCCTGTTCTCCATCATGACAGGTTTGTGCACTAACTCCGGTGGATTCCCTTACGCAAAGCTGAAATAAATAAAGACCCAATACGCTTAAGACCTTCTCCTGTCAGAGCCTCCCAGCTGCACCATCATAGTCCACTGTAGAGTCCCTGTGAATGTGTTCACACCACGTTTAACTTCTCTCCGTTCCAACAAGTGGGCCGCTGATGCTGTTCCAGATCATGCATGTTCCAATTATTCTGCAATGCCAGTTAACCAATAAATAAATAATCAAAAATATAATCAAATCAATCAATCAATAAAGAATTCACTCTAATCAGCCAGTTTGACACTCGCTGCTCATTTGGTCTTGGGTACCACCAATATTTCATCACCATCTTGGATGCTGTAGGAGTGGAGGGCCCGGGTGTTGTACTTCATTTCCTCCGGACCGAAGGCGCTGTTCTTGTCGATGTAGTAGATCCTCATGCTGTTGGTGGACAGCTGGACCACTCTTGTCAGCTGCTTCTTCAGCCCAGCTACTGTCTGGTCCAAACGGATGTTCAGCTGACACACAAAGAAACAGTTTGAACATTTTAAGCATTAAACTGCTGATGCTAATTTCACTCAGAATAAATACAAATGTTTAATAAGCCAAAGTTAAGAAATATTAAACCTACACAAGGGTGAATAACCTAAATGTCCTCTGATATCCTCCCCTGGAGCTGCACTACTTCCGGTAGTGGACACATGACGCCGCTTCAAGTTGAATTTTTATCTTGTGTTTTTAATGTTTGAAGAAGTTGTCCCTTTGTTACTTCCACTGTATTGGATTTGGCTGCAACGCTGTTAACCCCCACACCTCCAAAAGTGTTTTGTGAACTCAAACACTTCACCCGGCCGCTCCTCCATCAGCATAGTGGTGAGAGGAGTGTATGAGCGGTGAACTATCCCTTTAAGTCCGTAATGAAATATCTGGGTTTGTGTAGTATGTACTGGTTTACTAACAGCTACCTGATGGTGAGACTGGTGAGAGGGAAACAGAACAATGAAGCTGCCAACAGAAAACTAAAAGCTAAAAACAACAACAAAGAGCTGAAAGATGCGGAGATGCTCCACACATCTGAGAGGAACTGCAGAGGTGGGTGAAAATTGAAAATCTCTTTGAGATTATACACGGTCATGTGATTCATTGTAAACATAAATAAGATTGGGAGCAGCTCTAAAGGGATAATCAGCTGTTCTTAGCCACTGGTGGTGAAAAGCTATAAACCTTTTAACATAGCCACATGGACATTAGCCACATAGTCATCTATCTGTCCGCCTGCCTGTCTGGGAGATTTAAAAAATGAGAAAAGGTAAAAATGAGATGACATATAACAAATCAAGCAATTCTACTTTTGCGAACTATTGTGAACTAATGCTGAAAACACCTGTTCCACTTTTTCTTCACAGTGAACCTCCACCTGGGCACGGCAGCGAGGTCGGAGGTCAATCTCGGCAAGTGGTTCCAGCTTCCCATACTTGGTTACCAGGGAATGATATCTGAGGAGGTGAAGAGCAGGTTGTGTTGTCACTCTTAAAAGATCACACACACGCAGATACACATGACAACTAAACGGCACAAACAAAAGAAACTAAAATGTCTGCAGCTAGAGGACAGAGGAGAGTGCAGTGTACCTGTCGGGCAGCTCCTCCTCAGGGTAGTCTAAGTGGTAACGGATGAAGAACCTCTCAGCATCTTCTCTCTCACTGTCAGTCACAACACTGCCGTTGAGCTGTGATATTGCTGGAAGCCTGAGGACGAAGCACACGTACATTATGATGTTAAACAACCGATATTTGTGATCCTGTAAGATTGCTGACTGCATCAGTCAAGAGGAACTGTCAAGCCCTACTGAATGTTGGGAGAAACAAAACAAGCCGTCCACCTGCTACAGACGAGCTAATTTCTCACTGAGGTCACTGATGGGACTCACTGTGCTATCATGAGGCTGCGTCGTTCTGTGTTGGTGTAGGTCTGCAGTAAGGGAATGCCCTGCAGTCGCACCTCCACCAACTTGGGGAAGAAGTTCAACTTCTCAATGTCTTCCCATCGGTTTAGACCTGACAAAGCACACATGGACAGGTCATGCATATGTGTATGTACAAGTTGTATTAAGATGTTTGTGCCTCCCGAGAGAGAGAGAGAGAGAGAGATGCATGAGGTCTATGTCCTCGAGCTGTGTGATCAACTGACCTTAATACAAAAAGGGAATGAATGCAAACAGGTTGGATCAGATCTTTTGTGGGTCAGAACGCTGCTCCAAAGTGAAACGAGAGATCGTTTCCACTTCTGTTTCATTCTAATGGATTTTCTATTTTGAGCTTCAACTGTTTAAGACTGAACCCCCCTGTCCTCAAGTCACTTGAGTCACCATCAGTATTTTGGAAATTAGTTATATAATATCCAGGTTTTGACAAGAATGTGTGGAATAAAAAGATAATATCTCTGGTTCTGCTGCATCAATTTAAACCTTTTTTTTTTTTGTTGATGAGAAATAGAGATACCATAAACGTGCAAGCTGTAGTTTATTATAATTAAGGCCCCGTACACACTTAGTATTAACATGGCTGTTATGATCCGGTCACAAGTGGACAGCTCTGAGTGCGTGCGTTTGCACCTGACATTAAATGTGGCCCATGTTCCTCGTGATCGGATCTTAGATCAGATCTCACCTCCACGCACTACACGTACAAACACAAACAAACATTTCTGCTCACGAAGACCAAGTTATATTGTTTTCACCAAAACCACATGTTGATTCCAGGTGTGTACAGGGCCTGAAACAACCAACACAGCAGCAAATCCATCACCACAAATAGTCCCGGATCATTAACTTCTGTTTGAATATAATCTGTTTAAAACTACTGTTTCAGGGAATTACAACCATTAAACTATAATTACCGCCCCACTGGTGTAGACCTCCTCCAATCAGTGGAGTTACAGTCAACACAGACTTTATTTCCAGACTTTTGAGGTCACCATTACCTGTGACCGCTCAAATCTAATCAGTGCACAAATGGTCAAAATTAGAAGAAATTCCCTCAAGGCAAATTTAAGACACGACGTTCCAGAGGCCAAAAACATTATTTGTGAGGCCACCGTTACCTTTGACCTTTTAAAATATAATCAGGTAATCCTTGAGTCCAAGTGAATATTGGTGCTTGATGTAATGAAATTCCCCATTAGTACTTCTGATATATCACATTCTCATTGAATAATCCTCGAGTATGTCAAAATCTCTCTCCTTCTGTTTAGTCTTTTCTGTCCTTTTACATCTCGTCTCAAGACACTGGATTATCTCAGTCTGTGGGCAGAATATGTTTCTGTTCTTATAAACATTAACTGAGACAAAATGATTTTCAGGAAGGATGTTTTTCTGTTCCTCTGGCTAATCAGACAAGACAAAGTAATGGACTTAAACCAATTTAAATGTCTTTTTGGTAACGTTTCTGTTCCCACTACTCTCACCACAACTCTAAAAATAGATTCACCACTGATCCAAAATAGAAACAATTCCCTCCTGAGATAAAAGCTGAGGAATCTGTGACATGTTTTCTTCTGCTAAATGGATCTGGTTTTATTGAGTCGTCAGACTACTGCTGAAACTACAACTTGGCATGTTTGCTGTATTATGAAAAACTGAGGAGACATTAAAAGTTTTCTCCTGAAATCAAACCACCATTAGAAAGTTACCACACCATGTAAAATAGTCAACCATGTCAAAAAAGCAAATAGCCACGTCCCCTGACCTGAGTTTTGCAGGTTGATGCTGCGGAGGCTGGGGAAGAGCCGCTGCAGGACGTCTTTATTGTCCTGGATGGATGACAAGTTGTTGTTGGACATGACCAGCGTGTCGAGGCTGGGGAACATGGAGCCGAACTTGCGGACTTCGGCCCAGTCCTGGAGGCTGTTGTTGGTGATGTGAAGCAGGCGCAGGCTGGGACAGGCCACACCGGAGGCACTCAAACTGCTGTACTCATTAAGGCACAGGAACAACTCCTCCAGCCTGCAGGACGACACAGGACAGAGCAGGAGGACAATGTAGGGACTGTAACAGAAAACTGCCTTCCTCCACTTAGTATGTACACTGTAAATCCTCTTCAGCGGGGAACTTTACGTTAAGCTACTGGACTGATTACTCCAAGACCTGGTGGAGGGATGAGGTATGGGTCAGGGTCACTTTATTTCACAGGATGGATCTTGATGAAAAAAATCAGGCATATTTAGTGGATCCCCTAGATTTAGAATTACTAAATGAAAATGACAGATTTGGTGCAGACTTTAAGGGGACTGTTTGGTATTATTCTTACTCAGGTATCTCCCGAATGAGCAGCAGCACGGTGTCCCAGGACACTTGGGTGTTGTTGAGGACGAGACGACGGACCCGGAAAAAGGCTTCGGTACACCGTGGCTCCAGGGTCATTCCTGCCAGGGGGTTGGAGCTCAGGTTCAGGAACTTCAGGTTTGGGATGTTGGACACAATTTTACTGATCTGAAAACAAGATAATAATAATGTGCGAGTCCAGAAGCTTTAGAAAACATTAATTAACACAAACCCACAACATGGACTTTATTTAGTGGACAATAGTGTAATCAGAGACAGCAGCACATACATTTTATTACTGTCAAGGAATTCAATCAAAAGGCTAAAACCATAATAGTGTTTGGCCAACGATGGAGCTTGCTGATACTCTAGCAGTATCAATTCATCATTTTTACGATCTTTAACTCTTTCAATGGGAATAAAGAACTTTAATGAACTTCACCTCGTGCCAGTCCTGCAGCATGTTATGGGACAAGTCCAGCTCCCTGACATGAGCACAGAAAGCAGCGATCTCCGCCTGGTCTCCTGCCCGGCTGATGCCGCATTTATCTAACACCAGCACAATGGGCAGGTTCAGGCGGTCTGGAGAGGACGGAGAGGACGGAGAGGAGAATTAAGTGTTGTGTGGTCTCAAACACTTCACCCACCCCTCCATCGACATAGTGGTCAGTACATAACGAGGTAAATTAAACATACAATTTAATGTACAACACAACATTACAACCCTGTGTTTGTTTGCCTCAGCCAACCAGTCAAGTTGCACTTTATATCCATGTCTGTCCAGAAGTGGGTAATTTGAAGGTATTCAATAAAAGGTATAAAGTGTATTTTGTTATAAAACTTCATTTGAAAGTTACATAATCATATTTATCTGTTTAATTTTCCTTTCCCCGCTCACCTTTCATAGGGGAACCTTGAGGACATGCGGTGGGCACGACCACCACCCCCATACCAGGTGCTCTGCGGCACGGAAAATTATCTGGACTGTACTTTTCACTGATCACCTCCACAAAGGTACGGCCATATTTGTCCTCCTGTGGCTCCATGGATTCGTCCCGTTGCATGGCCTCCGCCTCAGCTGATCAGCAGTGTGGGAGAGAGACGCCCACAGTGATTATCTGCCAGCGACTACCAGGGCCGTGTCTAAACCATGCAACACCGAAGACCAGGTCAAAGTACAACAGTCCAGGGACAAAAGCTGGACAACTGACATCACCATTGAATCAAACATCAAAACGGTTGTGGGTTGTTGTTTTTTTTTAGTTAAACATAAAACCGCCATTAATTTCAGCTTTTTAAGTAAAGAGCTGTTTACGGCTGATGAAATGATTGATATGCAATTTATTCATTGTTAAAAAGAAAAATGAACTGTGGGTTATTTTCACTACACAACCTTAAGTAAGATTTCACTAAATGTCATTGATAGAAGATTTTCTTTCTCTCTTCAAATAGACAGAGTCATATTGCATTCACTTGAGAGAAAGAAGTTCTGCACTGTTCTTCGTGATTGATGAGACAACTCAAAATCCTGTCTGAACAATTCTAAAGTCCGGATGTGGCTGCAAACAGCCGACAAACTAATAACAATACCATCTATTTCATACTCAACTGTTATACTATACTTACATTAGCAGTATATACAATAGTACTTCCCAATGTCTCAAACCCAAACCAAAAAAAACTGGATCAAACTGCACAGGCGGACATGTTTTTGCTTCAACGTTCTAAAAATAGGCTGAAAGAGAGCTGGTCTTATTCTGTGGTCGGCCGAAAAACTATCGATTTTCTTTTCTTAACTGAATGCAATATGCTTCCATGCAAATCAAGGCCTCATACAACAACATACATGCTTCAAGTACAACATGCACATTAGATTAGCACGTCGGCTGCCTCTTCACCCTGATTACACAAAGCTGTCCAGTCTGATAAAGGCCACCCCTTCTGTTTAAAGAGAGTAACAAAATGATAATGAAAGCAGGGAGGGACACGAGGAGGAGTCCTCTTTATCAGCAAACCACAGAGACACTGTCCCATCTAAATTTCCTAAAATTTAATCTGTCTTGGGGAAAGGAAGAAGAAAGCTAGACTTTAAGCTGAACGTTAAAAAAAAAAAAGAAAAAGATTGTGAACTCATCACTTGAGTGACTGTAATTAAAATGACGAGTATGTGAGTCTTAAAATGCTTGGTGGGCAGAGCCTCGCTGTGGAATGAGCTGCAGGGAAGCATCAATTATGTAGTGGTTTTTGCTGGAATAAAAAAATAAAAGGATCTTGTTACAATATCTTATTCAAGAAAATAAACGGTCTGCAGTAAAATTGTGGTGATGTATGAAAGCAATTTGTTACCCTTCATCTAATGAATCATGCTAATAGCTATGGCGCAGCAGTTAGCTTTTGACACATACACAAAACAAATAAAATACAGATACATGCATGTCAGCCGTCTAATCCAGTGTCCAGTTGGAGAGAAGTGGCTCCAGCTTTTTGTTTCTGTCACCTCTAACTGAATAACATTATAGTTCAGAGGACGTGTTACCTGAAGTGATGCTCCCCTTGATTTGAAGACTATCGTCTGTCTCCTTCTGTCTCTGCACCGAGGGCCTGTCAGAGGAATCGGGAAGAATTGTAGAAACACTATTTCTGTATAAAACCCCAACATTTGATTATTCATTTTATTCATGGAGTTGAACCTGTAAAACGTCTACACAACACAGAGCTGTCTATCTGGGAGATGGGGCACATGCAGGCCCTGTAAGGGTTGTCTTACTCCAGAGTTGCTGATGGGGCTGATACTCGTCCCCTGATGAAATGCTGGAGCCTCTGTGGTCAGTTGTCAGGATTTGGTCTGTAGGGGCCCGGGCAGGGAGGACTCTGGACGAGTTCACCACATGACACTGGACAACAGAGGTCAAAGATGAGGAGTTTTATTGGGTCCCTGTTTATTGAAATGCAGATATCAATAAAATCAAAAGAACACGGAAGCACATTTCTTAGACCTTCACGTCACAGATATAGAGCACACAGAGAAGTTTCCCCACAGGGGGTCAATGGAACAACACACAATTATCTTTCAGGGACGATGGACATAAGATCAACTTTTTTTATATTGATGGTTCAACTAAATTGCCCATATCTCTGGGTATTACTTTAACTATGTGAAAAAAGATTGTGACAGAACAGCTGATTATAAAACTACGTGTTATACAAAAATAACTGACATATTTTAGAATGGAAATGGGCTGATTTATTGGCAGCCTGTAATACTAACTCCCTTGAAAAATCTCGTAATTTTAACATTAATCGCTTGTCAGTGAATGGAAACATCTTAAATTTCCAAACGGTGCCAATCGGTGATTCAAATTTACCTTCTCATTAATTCGGCATATACCATTTTGACATAGAAAACGGGATCCAAAGGAAATTTCCACTTTTCTGCGGTCCTCACCGTCTACAGTCCTCACAAAGACACAGCGATCTGGTTAAAATGACCCTGGCAACAACAGGAAGAGGCGCGATAAAAGTTGATATTTTACTCTTATGGCTGCTTCGTCTCACATGACACTTACGCCGAGTTAATGTACAACACTTGCGGGTCACTCAAATGTGTCGCGTGGTTCTTGTTGCGCCGTGCATCGATCGATAAGACACAGAAACGACAGAATTGACAGATTTGTGAGCGATGTTTGGTTTTGTTTTTTTTGTTTGTTTGTCTGAGCTAGAACACGCATGGCTAAGCCCGTCCACGCATCCAGCACAGTGCGCCTTCCTCGTCGTCGCTCTGCCCGGTTATGGTGCAGTAAACACGGACAGTGTGCAGGACGTGGCCCGGGCAGTGTCGGACCCAGCATCACACAGTCTGACCCCCAGCAGCAGCTCGCTGCAGCCGGACACGGATCCCAGACGTCCCCGCTGTGAAGACACGGTCAGAGACCAGCGGCGGACAACACGACACAAGAGGACGAGGGGACAGCGGCTCGTCTTCCTACATACCTTCAATGTGCACTTTGAAATTCCCTTCTTCATGAAAACAACCAGCTGTCATTTTGCTCACCCCACTTTCATCCCGGAAGTGACGTCGCTTGGTAACCGAAAACGAGATTTCCCTTTAAAATATAATTTATAATGAATTTCCTCGAGCGAGTGTTTTTTTTTTTTTAATTCACACTTTCTGAGTGTTACTGATGGCGTCTCTCTATCCAATGATGTAAAAGCTAAAAAAAGAAGAAGAGTGTCCATGATGATGTCATAGTCCTGCTGATGCTCCTGCAGATAGAGATCATCTTCTCTGCTTCATGGAAACCTGCAGATGTCTCTGATGCTCAATAAACAAAGACACCGACACATACATGAAAAAAAAACAGTTTGCAAAAGGCAATTTATGTATTTCAACATATATTATTTTTATTATTTTTTATCTATTTATTTGCACGTTTATTTTTTACATTTATTTGCTTCTACATTTATTATTTGTATATTTCTGTATTCCTACATTTGTTTATCTTCCCACTTCCATGTCAGTGAGGTAGGCAGGCTTGGTTTTCCTGAACTCAATCGAGTTTGTTGCGTGAACGAAAAGCAAACCTTTCTCTCCTGAGTGTTTTCTTGTCAAAGGTGGAACTTTGTGAGACTGGGCTTGTCAAATGTCAAATGTAAAATTGAGCAATCAGTCATTACACATGTGTGTTTTAGTTTGACTGCATCTAAATTAGCAAGGAACCCAGAAGCTATTTGATTTGTTAACTGTGTAGGAATCAGATCTAAAAGTATTTCCCCCACTCAAGACATCTTGATCATATACATTCTTTAAGAAACTGGAAAGTGATTTGTAATCACCCAGGGTGATGACGAGAAAACAAGACAACAGCGCCACTCACAGACAGTAAACCTCATCAGCAGTAAAACCAGAGGGATAAAGATAGCAAGTTATAAATAGAGTGTAAAGATTTGTATTCAGTCTGATTTTGTGTTTTATGGAGTATTAAGAAGAAGTCATGTTTGCCGGGATGGACCCACAAACATGAGCACACATCAACACTAAACGTGGACTTGTTACGTGACACTGAACCTGTTGTCCTGCTCCTCTGAGCAGTGACCATCAGTCACGCTCAGCTTCTCTGCCTGCACTTGTTTGCTCTCCTTCACTCCAGAGCCCTCCAGTGGTGGTGTGTCATTCTGAATGGAGTTAATCCCTTTATTTGTGATTACTGCATAAAATACCAGTGTCCACAGAAGATATTAGAGCATTATCGGACTCCAAATACTTACAGTACAAAGAAAATATGTCCACCTCTACTACTACTACTATTACATGATTTGGCTCTGTTTTAGCTGAAATAAAAATGATGTAAATGAAAAAAAGTCAACTTAATTTGCACTCGAGGCAAAGTCAGAGAGTTTGCCTCTCTTGGCATGTTGAAGATCTTTTCAAATCAGTTTTCATAGACCAATGGTGTTGCTTTTTATTCTCAATCATTCATTTTTCACATTTATATTTATATGTCAGGACTGTGTTTTTAATCTGTTGGCTGTGCGTGTGTGCTTGTGAATCATCTTGATAGATATATAGATAGATAGACAGACAGACAGACAGACAGACAGATAGACAGATAGATAGATAGATAGATAGATAGATAGATAGATAGACAGACAGACAGACAGACAGACAGACAGACAGACAGACAGACAGACAGACAGACAGATAGATAGATAGATAGATAGACAGATAGACAGACAGATGGTTAGATTGACAGACAGACAGACAGACAGACAGACAGACAGATAGATAGATAGATAGATAGATAGATAGAAAGATAGATAGATAGATAGATAGATGGGTATGGGGTGTTCAGCTGCAACATGCTATTTCAACACTAGATATCACAAAATTCTACACACTGTAACTTTAAGCTGGACATTTACGTCACATTATTTTATTTTCCATTAGTTTCACCTCAGACACACATACAGTATTTAGACAGAAATGTGTTGAGCATGTGTTAAACAGTTTGTGTGTGTATATGTACGCAAAGTATGCAAAGAGATATGAAGTTTCACCGGAAGCACAAAATGTATCTTTAATAAAATGCAGATCTTTTTTTAAAAATAAACTGGCAACAGTGACAACCCGACGACTGGAAACTCTTCTCTCTTCAAGCTGCAAAAAGAAAGAAGGTTTAAAATATTATTATGTTATGTGAGGTCCACAGTTGTTACTGACATCATAACTTAGGCCTAGTTCTGAGCATTTCACAAAAAGAACTGAACAAATAACCATGAATCTTGGAAGAAAGATATGGTTTAGGTGAAGGAAGAATCCATAAAAGTTTGAGGTGGCTCCGGGAATTATTTTTCACTTTCTTCAACATTGTGTTTTTCAACATTTTCGTAGATTTCTCAAATAAAAATCCAGATCTAGTTAATTAAAATGGTTGGGTTCGAATGTTCTTGTATAATCATGTATTGTTACCTGCAGGACAAAGGTACTTGTATTCTGTATCAACCTGGTCACCTGAGAAAAAGAAGAATAGAAGGACAGATGTATATATGCTTGATGTGGTCTCTGTAAAGGGACGTAGGGTTTGTGTGTGTGAGCGTCAGAATTACTTGGCTGGTAGTAGTCATAGAGCTTGACCGCCGCTGGCTTCAGGTTCTGCACTGGCAGCTGCTGGATGAGATTCAAGCTGTAGTTGATGGGTATGCCCTTTGGTAACTGTTGGTAAAAAAAAAAGACAGATGACACAATTACTAACAAATTTAGAAACTCCTCATCTCTTGACCCTCACTGTGAATTCCTCTCACCTCTGAGATGTACACCAGAACACGATCCTCCTTCTCTTCAACACGATCCACCAGCACGGAGCCTCTGAGCTGTGGGGGAGATGATGATCAATCTGGTTTCACATCAACAACAGATGTAAACTCAGTTACACTAATAACTCACCCTCCTCAAATTATCAGGTTCGAGGACAAAGCCAGAGAGGATTTTGATGTCCAGGATCACCATGTTTGTATTTTCCTCATTTCCATTATATCTGCAATAAACCATAAAAATGTGATGTCCCATACTTTTACCATTGTCGTCACAGTTAGGATGTTTGAGCACCTTGGCTTCAATTCCCACAGGTTCATCCACCAACAGGTACTTACACACTGACGGAGCATTGTTTGTCAAAAATGTCATTGCGCCTCCATCATTAGTGTAATGATGGGGGTGGATTACTTACAGGCACTTCAGCAACAGACTGAGTTTGTTCTTTGGACAGTCGGCCTCAGCCTTCATATCAACACTGAAGGTTCTGACATCAGTCACAACTGGGATGTTGTAGTGAAGACTAATCTGAGAAACAGGGAGACAAGGGAAATCAGATTAAAAATACTGAAATTTAATATCAAGAATTTTCTTTGCTCAAATTTATGACACACTGAGAAGAACCATGTTGTTTTCAAGGGAGTCCCATTTACACATCCTGGTTTTATGTTGTTGTATTAAGGGCCTCTGCACACTAGATGATAATCAAACATGTTTGATATTCATGATAATATCCTCTCCGACAGAAACGATGACAGCGAGTTGACCAGTGAGCATCGCCAAACGGATGTTGCGAGCTTGTACGGCTGCGACTTAAAACAACAACAATACATTTCCAGCTCATGCTTTAAAATTTAAATGCCAATTCTGCATTCTCATCCATGACTACATCCATAGTTCTTTTTCTCCCTTTTCAATTTGCTGCAAAACAGTACACGTGAAAGTACAGCAAACTTACAGCATCGGTCCACCTTGTTGTGGAAAATCTGCTGATCAATGGTCAACTCATCAATGAAGAAAGCGTTCAGTTGCCCTTTGACGTCTCATGGTGAAATATTTATTGAAGCTTGGCCCAGGAGAAAATCTGAAATCTGCTTTCCTGCAGTCACACTTTAAACCCCAACAGATCATTTAATCTACGGGTGTGCTTGTTCCTAAACAAGCAAATGTATTTTCTAGTGATGGCGACATTAGTGCCTGCTGACGCAGTCTCATATCTGTGATGTCTAGGGAGTGAAGGCTTTGACCTTCGCCAAGCTCTCGCACTTCCCAAACACAACAGCCTGTTGCACTATGAGAGGACAAGAGACCGTGTCTATGAAAATTCCATAACATACCTCTTTGTTTTATTTTTCTCTTTGTGCAATCATGCAAGTTTTTGACACTCCAGGTCAGAAGGTGGCGATAACGGAATCCAAAATAGTTTGCCAACCACCATACAGAATAGAGGAAAGAATCACGCAAGTTTCTGTGAGATCTGAAGTCTCTGGAAGCGCCACTGTGAAACGACAAGTCATCTCTATGTCTGTAATATCCCATGTTTTTAAAATCAAGAGTTGAAAATCCTCTTGTGTGTTCAAGGCACAAGGTATCAAACCTTGGTTCATTAACCCAATGAACCCTGATTACGAGGAAGCCTGCTTAAAATGTCTACCTCGATCACGACCTGGTCATTTCTTCCAAATCAAAATCCAGTCATTTGGACAGTCGGTCATTTATTGGAAATTAGAAACAAAGCTCAGCGCAGACTCTCTGCACTGAAACAGTTAGCCTGTTGAGGTGAGCGTATATCAAACAGAAGCAGCTCCAGTGTTGACTGACCTGTATTGAGGCGCACGCGTCGCCCTCTGCCTTCACGCGGAACTTTCCTCTCTTGTCCTGCAGCATCGTCTCCTGGTACAGCAGTTTGTTGTCCTTGTTCACATCAAACAACAGCTGACCACTGGGGGACTGGACCGTCACTTGGCTTGAACCATCTGGACTGAACACCAGAGTGGAGTAAAGAGCCAGAGCCTGAAGAGCCACCACTGTGTCCTACAACACACACAAAATACTTTATGTTACTTTAAATCTTTACACATATACTCACTTGTGTTTACACATTCAGCAGGAAGAGGTGGAAGGTCGCCAATTAAAATGTAATTTTCAGATAAGCTATAGGATTTATCATTCTTTATCCTAATTACTAAAACTAATTTATTTAACTAGAGCTTCCACACTGTACCTGTGTGGATGAGAAGCCTCCATAGTAGTTCTGCTGACCCGTCAACCATCTGACAATGCGAGAGGAGTAGCCCAGGTCTTCAGCAGTGGGCAGGGCACTGAGTTTGGCTAGCATCACATAGGAGCTGATCTCCACAGACAGCGAGGCCGATGTTTCTGTTGCCGTCTGACACCAGTGGAGAAGACCCCCTGAAACACATCCATCCACAAACACACAGGCATAAGGTCAGCTACTAAGACAGTAAGTGAAGACAGAAAGATTTCCTTTAGGAGGACAGCAGCTCGCCTTCTTTTTGTCCAACTTGGTCAAGGTGCTGCAGGAGGTTATCGCGGGTCTCCATGTCTCCTGCCAGGGTGAAGACGTACGCCATCAGAGCTGTGGTGTATGTGTTGCTGAAGTTACCGGCTGACCCCTTAAGGCAGGACAGGCTCTTCTTCACCACAGCATCCTATAACACATATTTAGAAATGATCATTATAGAGAAGTAAGAGTCTTCAGTCTATCTTCTATCAGAACCACTAAGATACCACAGTAGCAAAACAACAACAAGCATTGACAAAATAAAGCACCACAAAGAGATTTTTACAACATGAACCGAAAAATGTAACTCTCATTTATATACAGGACACGTGTATGTCTATCTTTTTATTGTGAAGTTTTGAGTGAAACAGCGTGAGATAATTTTGGGGGAGGGAGTTAACTCACATCAGTGGATGAATTCATCTCCAAGAAAGCAGCAGTGATGTAAGCAGTGAGTGTGACTTCGTCAGATACACCACCCTGTAGGGAGGGAACAATATTCACATATCGGCATCACTGTGTGTGTAACACCCAGGGACCCACTGCACAAACTTTTGCTTTTGAACTTGCATCCACATTCACTTTAATTCCATTAAACAAACAATTTTCACTCACACATTGCAAACAAAGTACAGCAAGATATTATTCAGCGATAATAAAATGTCGACTCTTCAGTTTGAAGTGATACTATTTTCATCACAATCTACAGGTACAGAAAGCTCACCTTCATCCTGTTGTTAAAAAGTTTTCCTAACTGTTGGAAACAACCATTTTCAAGTTGTTTTTCCTCCAGCCAAGTTTTAGACGATTCAATAATCCTTGGGTCAATGTAGACGAAAGATTTTGCTTTGGCAAAAGATCTCAACACGAAAGCAGTCAGCCTGAGGACATCAAAACAAAGTTAGACGCTGACAAAAGGAAAATAAGGAAACACACTTGTTCTGTATCCTGCTTCATGAATCCGAACGTAACACAATATGCTACAGGTCAAAAGTTAGGCTAGTTCAAGCATTAATTAACAACTAGTGCCTGTCTATGGTGCAGAGTGAAGTTAAAACCTTGTGTTCATCCTACCTGCTTTATCTGCAATGAAGATTTTATAGTAAATGTTTTCATAAAATTAAACTGAATTTGCTTGATTACTGTTACTTTGTGTTTTATATATAATTTTGAATCATTTACTGCACTGCTGTTGTTTTTCTATGCATGTTAGCTTCTTCAGAGGTCTGACTCAATCTTTAGTTCACAACCTTTCAAAATAAAAGCTCTATAATTCAACTTGATATAAGGCATTGCTGGAACAAAACAAACTTTCTGATTTGACTTTGAGTGATTCTATGAACGATGGCGATCAGCACCCACAATGCAATATAGTGGAATAAACATAATCAAATGTTTAAAATGATCTGGCAGGAAAATTATTACTGGCCACAGACTTCCAGTTGATAACTGCAGCTGAAGTTCATCTGAGTACTCAGACGATCTACTCGGTTCACAGACTGACCATTAGTACACTGCCCCGCCCCCAATGGCTGCTACAGGGCACTTCCCTGGGCCATTAATAATACACATGCTAAGTGTGATGGCAACAAGATGAATGGTTCCCGAGATATATGTTCCACACACAGACAGACAGGAAGAGAGACAGACAGACAGACAGACAGACAGA